CTCCTGCCTCCTCCCCTTGCTCCTCCGGGGCTCTCGATCCTCCCCCGACCCCTCCTCCCACCTACCCGGGAGGATGCGCTCCCTCGCGCTCAGCAGCAGAGGCCCTCGCTCCCAGAAATGCGTGTGCCCGACCCCCTTCCCGACCCGAGGAGCCGGCGCCCCCGCCCTGTAGGTAGGTGGGCAAGGCGGGGCCCAGCCCTGGCCGCGGGCGGCTGATGCTGCCGCTGGGGAGAGGCCGAGGGCAGGGGCCCGGACCGGCCAAACTTGCCTCCCGCCGGGCTCGGTGCAGCGCTCGGAGGTGTGTTAATGGCGCTGGGCGCAGCCCCCAGTTCACCTGAGCTCCGGAGGGCGAGCGGGACGGGGGCGCGTGGGGTGCGGGCTGACGCGAGGGTGGGGAGGACAGGTTGGCAGGTGGATTATTTGGGAAGGAAAGACCGTTGGATTTTCAGCAGCTCAGGTAGAAATGTCTCCGCATTTTTTCCGACTGGATTAGCATATGTGTTCTTCCTGTCTTTTTAACCGAGGCGGGTTGACAGGCAAAACGTTATTTTAGCGGTATATTATTAGTCGCTGTGGATTTTTTTGTGTGTGTATTTAAGCTGGCCGGATGGTATATAAAATTGATGGCGCAAATCCTTACTGTCAGCATTTCAAGGCTACTTTAGTGAAGGTCCTTCTAGAAGTCCATTTATTCCGGAGATGGATGAGACGGGGTATTTTTGCACTGCCCACTCAGGCGCCCCGGCTTCCGCGAGGGGATGTGTTTAAGAGTGGCAAGTTTGATACAGGTGTCGGGAGTTGAGATTCTGCTGGGAGGATGCACCGGTCAGCCAGCAGAGGCAGGCTTGTGCTCAGCCTAACTTCCAACTCGGTGTTATGGTTTATATTACTGAGAAACTGGGTATGTATTTTTTCTTCTCCTCCAAGTGGGAAGTTCATACATCGGAGTTTTTGGCAAGATTTTATCTTCTCAGACTATCCGTTTTTTTTTTTTTAAAGGTTAAACGATAAGGCTTACTGTTTTGGAAAATGGATCATTGTAAACTTCTATTTTTCTAGTAACATATTAAGATTTAGAGATTTGGAGAAATTAATCAGCATAAATTCCAACAGAGTAGAGTCATCGGGTTTTTTTTCAGTCCTGTAAAACCCAGAGTCTGGTGTTGAATAGGTGCTCCTTAGTTATTTGTTGGATGACCGATTTGTATTTCAAGCAACATCTAAATTACAATGTATCAGAATCACAGTATATTAGAATTACAATGTATTCTCTGGCTGGTGAAGTTTAACTGGATTTCAAAAACTCTTTGTATTAATAGGCAAACTCAGTTATTTTAGCATTTATATTTGAATTCTGATATATTTTTAGGGTCATATACTCTCCTTCATATATTATTAAGTGAGATAATTCTCCCCAACTCTTACGTTCATTTCTTGTTTAAGCTTGTAGATTTTCCTGCCCCTTTATTAATCAAATCTATTTCTATAAAACCGCTAAACACAATTTAAAAACCACATTTCGAGTAAGGCAAATACGAAGTTAACGTTAGAGGGATCAGTGATTTGGTTAATAAGTGACATATTGACATTTTTTAGTTTATTTATTATGTTTTGACCTCCTCATGATGTATAAGGTAAAGGTAAAAATAAAACATTTAAAAGTGTCTGCGGTTCCTAAATGTTTCAAAACATGTAGTATAGATACAAATTTGTAACTATGTTTGCTTCAGTAAATGAGGTTAGTATTAGTTTCCAGGTTTGACAAGCCAGGTGGTTTCAAATGTGGGGTATGGAAGATATAGTGCCTTTCTGCTTTAAAGTGGAAGGATATTTTAAAAAGGAAAACAAAACAAAACAAAACAAGGATAGTTACATCACATTGCATTTATTTTAATGTTGCATTATGATATTTTCTGTTTTGATTTTGTTTTCCTGTCACATAAATTTTGTACGTCAGTATTCTTTTCAACGAAATTATCTGAAAGTGGTTCAATCATTTTCTTTCCTTAATGTTGCTGTTTAATCCATCTTCACTATCCTAACTACATATTACCCGAATGACTCCTTTTCACAAAATATAGTTAAGTCAGAGTTTATTGTTATTGGTTCCCTAACCCAGTGGGAGTCTTCCTATATGGGAAAGGACGGAAGACTTCGAACTAGCAGTGCAAGGGAACTTATGGGGAACAAAATCAATTTGTTTTGATTTATGAGAAGAAAGCAAAAATTCTTCCATACAGTAAATAAAATGACATTTTACGCATCTTGGTTTATAATCAAGATATTGCGCAGTTAAGGTTGAGCACTTTATGTGCACCTGTTACCCTGGGCCTTGCAATCAGTCAAGTAAGAGCTGGTGCCTGGCCTGAGAAAGAGGCATTCCACCCACTGGCCGCCATGTCCTGCGGTGCTTCTGGGCCTCAGTGATGCTTCTTGGGTCCTGCCTTTGAAGCCCCTCCCACGCCACCTCCCTTGGCACCTCTTGAATGTAAGTCTCAGACCTGGATTTACTCTAGTGTATCTTTCTGCATCTTCCCCAAGGTTTTATTTTAGACACTTCTGCCCCTTATTTGCTAAATGCCATTTGCTGTCCTTAAAAAAAAAAAAAAAAAAAAAAAAAAAAAAAAAAAAAAAAAAAAAAAAAAAAAAAAAAAAAAAATTCCCAGCCCATACTTATCTTTTTTGTAAAATAGATGTAAGTTCAACAGGATCCACCTATTCACACATGCAATCACACAAAATTATGATTGCAGAAAAAGGTGACAAGTAAATTTGTATAACCTTGAAGTTCAGACACAGAACTGGTGGTCGAAGAATAATTGTTGTGTACAGTGGTACAGAATGCTTTGTTTCTGCACATGCCAGAGAGTGTGAACCGTGTGTTTGTAAATTGGATCAGAAACATCGAGAGAAATGATCATTAAACAGGATTGACCGAACAAAGGTGAAACATCCACCCGTACCCTTTCAATACTAGGCTTAAGAAGAGCTTCAGAAACTTTGTATTTCGTTTTCTTTGTTTTATATAGCCTTGATACCTCCTCCCTCTAATTGTGCTCACTATTAATAGAGACAATCAGAAGAAACCTACTTTTATGTTATTTCAGGGATGTGGTTAAGATCGTAGTCCCTTCTGCAGCTCCTCTTTAAAGACCCATGCTAGAAATTCCATTTATCTTTAGATGCCGAAGAAAAGTTTTACTTCTCTTGAACAATTAATCTGTGTGCACTTTTTTTTTTCATTCAAAAATGAGAATCAGATAATGGATTATATTTTTCTTTCTAATTTGACAACTAGGAAGTAAAAAGTCAAATTTGCAACTCAGTTTTGATAATCATGGAAAAACCTGTAGACCCAGTATTGACATTCCAACTTCCCCTTTGGTCTCAAGTTTCTGTCCTACCATGTTTTTCTTGATTCTAATTTTTATCTAATTATATTTTCTCATTTCAATTATATTATTTTCAGCTGACTCATATCCTTTGTGGAAGAAGGCAAAATATAAGACATACAACCAAATAAATGAGAATGTTAGAGACTTGATCTCTGAACACAATATGTTTCTGATGAAAAAGTGTAATTGGTTTTATTAAACATGTCAGAAAGCACGACAGCTTTAGTATATTTGAGCTTATGTGGACACAGCCAATTGGAAAGTGGGGTTACATGGTTTTGCAAAACTGAATCCCACTTATTTTTTAAAGTGTGACATGTATGTCCCTTATCACTAATTGGAAGCTGGTAAAATCCGTTCAATTTAAGTCCGTTACATCTGCAGTTCCTGCCTTATATATCCTATATCAGGCTAATCAGGAGAGTCTATATAGTAAAAAGTTATTTTCTGCCAAAGGGTTAGCCCAAGCTAGCGTGGCACCACACTGGACTGGGAATGTGGCCTTTGTGTCAGTGGTTCATCCTTGCTTTACTAAAGCAAGTGTAGATTTTTCTCTTCTTTCATTTTAAAGAAATTCAAAAGATTGACCTGAGTTAATTGACCAGACTTTTTATTCTTGTGCTTTGGCACCTAACTGTTACATTGGCTGAATTTAGCCAGCTAAAATAGTTATTTGCATCGATATGATGCCCGGTAGAGTTTGTGATGTTTCTCCCCCAGGTCAGCAGAGAGATTGGTCCTCCTCAGGGGTCACTCAGTGTAGTCTGGGAGCCAGGATCCTTTGGCATAAAAATAATCTGAATCCCAAAGTGCAACCTGACACGCAGAAGGGGATTTGAAGAGAGGCTTTGACAGGTTTTTACATAGAGCGTCTTCTGATAACATCCTTTTTTTCTAGTCAGTTTTTAGAATAAGCGATACCCATGTGATGCCCTCACATGGTTCCACAGGTGCAAATGGCTGTACAGTGCAAGTCCTCTCTCTCATTCTCATCATGCAGTCACCCGCTTCCCCTGTCCTCGGCAGTTGGCGTTACCAGTTCATTGAGAATCTCCCAGTGACATCTTATGCATAAACAAATACATATGAAGGTAGAGCCTGCGTGTTTTATCCCCTAACCATTTCTCTAAGTTCACTCCTTCCCATT